TACAGCCTCTATTTGTATGTGTCAAAATTAGTCAAAAATTCAGAGAAAATTAAAAGTATTAAGAATACAAAAAAAAATATTTTGTACGAGACTGAAATTAGGTGTGCTTGGAGTTATAAACTGTGTGTCGAACCTCACAAATTATGTGAAAGAAACGAAGCCTTAGTAAGGTGTGTTGATGAACGTGGACTTTCCAATATGACAAGGCACAACGTTTCTTTTTAGATTTTCAGGTTAGATCATGTTAAATGCTTAGTTTTCTACTATTATTTGTTATTGTTTACTATGTTTTGTATTTTTTTTTGGATTGTTACTAATTTTCTATGTATGTACTATAAGTAATTATTCTTATCTATTTTTTATTTTTTTACTATACAGGTAGGTCCCGTCATTTTCAGGAGATGTCTTGTATCTTTCATGTATTTTTCTTTATACCCACTCTATGAGGGGTGGGGGGATTAATAACGACAAAAAACATCCGATGTACAAGCGGAAAGTCCCAGGTTCGTCCCCTAGTATTGAAAATCAAACACAAATTATCATTCCAAACCCCTACATAGTACATAACCCTATCGACCTTCACTTACCAAATGCCCAAAGTCGCGATAGATACTCTAAAAGTCTGACAGTTTGTCTCGTAACCGAAACTGTAAGAAATAAATTTTAGCTTTAAGCTGAGCTTTAAAGATATTCACAACACCACGTTACAGAACCTTACTACGAGCAGAATAAATCATAAACTTAGTTATACGCGTACACAAGCGTAACAACCTGAGGTGATGCGATCTCAAATGATGTAAAAATCCGACCAAAGCCACCTGTCCTTTTTCATGATCCATTAACCTACGGCCTAAAACTATCTCTAACAAACTAAAAACTAAAGTCCACATATCCTCTACTCTGGAACATTCTGGCCAGTCTTGATTCAAAACTCGATCATTTGCGTCCTGAAGAGAAAAATCAACTTGCTAGTTTATTGACTTTATACTAATGTATATTTCCAGGCGATCCTAATCAAACCAACATCGCTGTTCATGATGTAGATATAGGTGACGCTTCTCCTGTAAAACAACATCCCTATCGTGTGAATACAAGGCCGATAAGATGCGTAAAGAAATATCTTACATGCTGGAAAACGGCATTATAGAGCCCAGTAAAAGTGATTGGTCTTCATTGTGTGTACTGGTCCCTAAATTTGATGGTTCGGTTAGATTCTGTACAGACTTTTGCAAAGTAAATGCTTTGACAAAGACAGATTCCTATCCCATTCCAAGAATGGAAGGTTGTATTGATAAAATTGGAAAAGCCAGATATATCACAAAGTGTGACCTACTAAAGGGATACTGGACTGTTCCTCTAACTCACAGATCAAAAGAAATATCTGCTTTTGTTACTCCTGATTGGTTATACCAGTACAATGTAATGCCTTTTGGGATGAAATATTCTCAATCAACTTTTCAGCGAATGATGAATCAATGCCTCAACAATCTGTCAGATGTTGGAATTTATGTTGATATTGTGATTTCCTGTGACACATGGGAAGAACATTTATGTGTATTACATGATGTTTTTGAGAGGCTTAAGAAAGCCAATCTCACTGTAAGTTTGCCAAAAAGTGACTTCTGTAAAGCCAGAGTTGTTTACTTAGGTCATGTAGTAGGCCATGGTCAAGTTTCTCCAATTCAAGCAACAGTTGATTGTATTGTGAATTATCCAACTCCTACCAACAAAAAAAAGTTTGATGAGATTTTTGGGAATGGCTTGTTATTACAGGAAGTTTTGTTACAATTTTGCTTACATCACTGTACCATTAACAAACCATTTGAAGAAAAATCAATAATTCAAATGGTCTGAAACATGTTAATCTGCTTTTCAAAAGGTCAAATCTTTGTTCTGCACTTACCCTGACCTGACTTTGATAAGCCTTTCGCATTAGCTGTTGATGCCAGCGATTGTGGCCGTGGTGATTTTTTATTACAATCAGATGACAAAGGTAAGAAATAAAAATTCTGTTGTGCGTGTCAGGAATTGAACCTGGGACCTTCCGCGTGTTAGGCGGATGTGATAGTCACTACACCACAAGCACTTGTTATAGACATTTGTCTAATTTACTATCTAAAGACAAGATTATTAATAAAATTAACACCACTTCTGTGTCCAGCCATCACAGCAGCATTGTCATAGCACTGTGACCGACAATCGTGTAGCTTCATTTCGTCCTTCTCTAGCTGTTTCAAGATGTCTTCTACCAAGCTCTCAGCATCCTTCTGTCTTATCTGGATAAAACCAAGGAAGGACTCACCAACAAGGACTGTTGTCCTCTCAAAATCAGCTTCCACGTACCTCACTATTTCTGACATCTGCTCACGGTGTGCCTGACTAGGAGTCGAGTCGAACATGAGACCATAGTACTTGGCTTTACGAATGCTTCTCAGTAAACTCTGGCGAATAGTAGATGCCATCATATGAATGAATTCGTTCTGGACACCCGGTGAAAAATAAGACTTGGATTCAGAATGACTTTCCACACGAGTGAGGTGTTCTTTCATGACAGGGTCAAAGATGGCCAGTAGTTTCAGTAAGCCAAGGAAATTTTTCACATTGGAGTCATCGACTAGCTCAAGTGACTCCCTGTGTCCTCGCAAAGCCAGGTTCTGAGTCGCAAAGAATTTTATGCAGTGAAGGATTCT